CACGCACACACACAGGCTCGCACACATGTGCGCGCCCCCGGAGGTATTGGGGGTGCGCGCGTGCGTGCTGACAGCAGCCGCTTGACAACCTGCAGCTCCCTAATGAGTGACGAGGCAGGGCTGCTGCAGAAAAGTAACACTTCCCTGGTGTGAAGACCTCTTACTGAGAAGTTTAGTTCACTACTGTTCTCGCAAACCTAATCGTGTAACCTGTAACCAAAACCCACAGAACAAGGATACAAGACGCTAAAGAGTAACTTATAATCACTAAATGTTAGCACCATTACCTGCTGTTAGGAAGCGATTGCAGACCTCGCTCTCGTCAGTCTCTGGAAATACCTGGATGCCTCTGCACAAGTTCCACTTGTTCCCAAACGTCACGGGGTCAGGGACTCCCTATGCATCTGCAGGAAGAGAGCTTTAGCCAGAGCTTGGTGCCACTCCAAGGACATTCTGTCCAGGGAACCAAAAGCAAAGTGGATTTTAGGTAAAAATGGCCCTCCCTCCTTTAGCCAGCAGATACTAAGGGGGGGGGGGGGGGGAAGAAGTGAAAAAAACGACAGAAAGCGGGGGGAAAGCCCTTAAAGAAGACTTAATGTAACACCGCCAAATGGAAAAACTAAATGTGCTGCTCCCTACTCAGATGCAATAGGCTGTGGTGCCTTGGTTATTAATTAAAAGTAGACATGAAATCATCTAGTTCATATCCCAAGCAAGTCTTCTGTTGGGACTGCTCACTCTTTATGAGGCCTGTCCTCTTTTCGGGGGACGTGGTGGGGTAGGGACTGCAGACAGAGAAAGAAAGATATTTACCCCTGTATATACCAGAAAATTACATTTGCTCTGACTTCTCTTTGATTCATCAACAGTGCACATTTATAGATGTTTGCGTGTGAGAGATCAAGATTAAGCTAATGATGAGAAACTAGTAGAATGATACAGAATTTGTTTTAGATCTCAGACCACTGGATGCCCTCTGTCTTCTGAAAGTAATCACAGAGACTGAGGTGGAAATACAGAATTGGGGCTTCATGTGTTTAGGACCGAGGTCCCGAGGTGGACTTGGGCAGCCCTTCAAATCCAATTTGCACCCAAATTGACCAGTAGGATTTACAAAGCTCCATCCAGGGACTTTCAACTTGCACAATGCTCTGCCCAAGAACCCCCTCCTCCTCCATTTCATCTAGTAGCAGTTCTAAAAAGAAGCCATTGCTGAGACAAATGTGGGCTGCTGAGTAAATACTGCATGTTTTGTTGAACAAGCCTACCCCCACACCTATATATTATACAGTACTCTATCTCACCATAAAGTCCAATTAAAATTATTAAGAGAATCATAAAAATCACTTCCCCCCAAATTGCAAATGACCTCTGTCATTAGGGAGACTAGATCTTTAGAGTGATTATATTAAACTGTAATCTATTCCTACACAAATATCCTATTTTGAAACTTGCATCCATGCAACCCTTAAAATAATATAACACATTCTTAATTTGCATGCACAATATTTTCCCAGTCAATATCAGCTCATGGCACATAAGACCAGATTACTACAGCTCTCATTAGCAGACCCCAGTTTTTGCTTTTTGAAAGTAAACAAAAGAAAAACTTATTTTCACCTGCTAAATTTTTATGCAAGATTACAAAACAATGCACACTCAGCTTTGACCTAAGAAACACCTTAAAACATTAAAAATTCATCAGTCAGTGCTGGTGTTGTATTCAAGGAATGCCCCTCCAGTTTGCTGCTGAGCTCAGATTTGAATAAAATGTCCAATGTTAACAAACAATACCCACGTTTGGCACTTTGTGTATTAAATTGATCAAACAGATTTTAGGAGGCACAATGCACAATTTGTACAGACCTGATTGAGTTAATATAATATCAGCAAATTTTACATCGAAATGATTCTGTTTCTTTTCTTTGTGTTTAAAACCAGCACAGATTACAAATTTTAATGATCTGAAAATGTTTGGTATACAAAATCATGCTTATTTCAGTATTAGCAAAAACACAAGAAATTTTTCAACACAAACACCCAGCTGTGTCTATTTTAAAAGCAGTTCAATGACAGCTTGCACTTATGAGCATGCAATCAGCTAATTTCGCTTTTTTTTCTTCTGTGTTAATCAACACTTTCCTTCCTGCATATCAGAGTACAAATAGTATAGTTACTCCACATCAGTAAATGTTTACGTAACCTGTCCTTTCCCAAGAATCCGGTTACACCGAATCATTTCACGCTAGACCGACTACGAAAACGTACCGGGCCGTCCACCTCAGAGGGAGCCCTTGTGTGCCATTATAAGTGGTGATGCGAAGGGGGGTTGTGGGGGGAGAAACGGGGAGGAGTAGGTGGAGGAACGGAGTGAGGGAGAGGAATAGATGGAGGAGGAGGGGGGGTGCGAGCAGCAGGAGGGAGGAAGAGGGGAGGAGGGAGGAAAGTGAGTTGAGGAAAAGTAGGAATCACAGGCCTGAGGAGGGGAGTGAAAGGAGGAAAGCGGGCAGAAGGAGGAAGGCTCACAGAGCTCTCCAAACGGTCCACAAAGCCCATTAGCTCACCCGGCTCTAAGAAATTGGAGCTTAGAAGTCAATGTTTGGGGCCATGCCACAACCAACGTTGATAGCTGGGACCCTTGAACTTTCCCACATGTAAATAGAGCTTAAGGAAGGAAATGTGTAGAAATAGGGGTGGGATACATATAGTAGAAGGGTAGAGGAGGTTAATCCAATGTTCCAGGTTTTTCTTTTTGGTATTCGTAATAGATATTTTAAAAATCACTAGCTATTTGTAATGGTCTGTTCTTCTCTCCAGAGTTTAGTCTCTCTCTCTCTTCCTCGGGATTTCAAGGTAGGGAGTGGGGTGGGGAGAGTGGAATAACTCCACATTAACCTGAGCATTCTTGTTTTCATCAATTGCATTCTTCGTTTTAGAACTGAACTTTAACAACACACGTAGGCATCGTTTTTTCTTCCTTCCTTTTCTTAAATACTAAATCTGCCAGTTTGAGAGTTTATCAAAGTGAGTAAATGTTTATATTTTATGATTATTTATTTTACAGAGGAGGGGGAAAAGTGCGTCTCATTTATGCTTCTCCTCCACCTCCCTCTTCTGTAGGGCTACATCCTCCGTAAAATGTGGTATGTTTCGTACCCATGTGGGATGAAACAGCCTTTGATCAGTGTGCTCCGCACCAAATTCCAATCCCTGGGAAATGCTGGGCCTTAGCCCTGCCCCTGGCCACGGGATCCTTTTAAAGCCCCCGAATCACAATCTCCCCACTCACTTCAGCCCTCAACCGAACCTTCCCAGTTCTAAAGCCCAAGAAGCTGGGAGTGTGGGACCCACGCACCCAAGGCTTCTAGTTGCCTTCCATCTGCATTCAGGGTGGGAAAGGGCTGGCTTCAGCATGCGGTTATTTCAGCATTGAGGCCCGCACAAATCAAAAGCATTTGAGAAACGGAAAGAAAAAAAGAAAAGAGGGGAGTGAAAACAGGAAGGCTTAAAAAAAAAAAAAAAAACAACGGAAAGAAATAGCCGCCCACCCTTATTTTCCCTCCAATGTCAACAAGCAAAATGAAACATTTCCAGGGTGATCGCTCGCGGCTACTCGCTTCCAATTCGGATTAGAAGCTGAGGAGACGCTGGAGCGGCGGCAAGGAGAAAACGACACCGAGTCACCCAGCGTGTGAGCGACGATCTGGAGCAGGAGAGAAGGGGAAGGAAGAGGCACATAGACATAGCATGTGTTACCTGGTTTATTTCGAGATTGTTTGGTATTGTTTTCTCTCTGAGCACCCCTCATTTCGGAAGGCTATCATAGGCGCCCACCACTGAGCCGCCCCCGCCCGCCGCCGCCGCCGCCGCAGCGCCAGGAGCCCCAGGCCCGGCTTCCCGGCGGCGCCCGAGCTCCGAGCTCGCCGCCGCCCGGCCGCAGGAACCGAGTAAGTAACCCCTGTTTGGCCCCGCGCTCGCCAGCGCACTTCCTCCTCCTCAGCCCTCCGTTCCCAAACCTCCTCCAGACCCTCCTCCCCCAAGGTGTAGGGCACCCCCCCCTCCCCACGCCAGGGGTGGGCCTTCCCTCCCCAGCCATCCCAAGCCTCGCTGCGGTGTTACCTACAAGGGGCACAGTTTTCCTACGGACTCAGAAATGCCGGAGCCGGGCCTGCAGGGCCGACTCGGGAAAGTGGCGCCTCGCCGCCTCCTCCTCCTCCATTTCCTGCCCTCTCCTTGCATCCTCGCCCTGCACTCCCACTCTTCCCTCCACCACCGCTGCCGCCGCCGCCCCCCGCTTTTAAAAATAACATTGAATACAAACTTTAATCAATAACGACCCATATTGACGCTCAAACGAAAACGACCCAATACAGTGAGAAGGCAGCCGGAAACGGGAGCTATTTGCCCTAAGACGGGGGGGATTTCGGCAGAGCCGACCCGCGGGGTGGAGCGGCTGGAGGGGGCGCAGCGAAGGGCCGCGGCGCAGCGTGCTCCCGGCGGCGTATCCCTACGCGGCTTCGCGCGGCCGCGAGGCCCAGGCCCGCGGCGAGGGGGAGGCGAGCGCCGAGGGGGCGGGAGCCTGCGGGCGGGGCGGGGGTGGGTGGGCCCGGGTCCGCCGATTGGTCGACGGCAGGAGAGACGCTCCCGCACGCCGCCGGCTCTGATTGGCCCAGCGGTAGGAAAGGTTAAACCAAAAATTTTTTTACAGCCCTAGTGTGCGCCTGTAGCTCGGAAAATTAATTGTGGCTATAGCCGCCTCGATCGCTGTCTCCCCAGCCTCGCCGCGGCCGCTCCGGGACGCGCCCGCCCGCCGCCCGGCTCTCCCCCCCTTTGGGCTGCTGCTGCTGCTGCTGTGACTGCTGCTGCGAGAGGAGGAGGAGGAGGAAGCAGCAGAAGGGGGGGGGAGCGGGGGGTGGGGGGGAGACCAAGAAGTAGAGTTGGGAGCGAGGGAGCTTCACCCCCGGGGCGGTGGTTGTTTCTTTTTTTTTTTTTTTTTTTTCCGTTTTTTTTTTTTTTTTTTTTTTTCTTCTAATTCCTGAGGGGTGGTTGCTGCTTTTGCTACATGACTTGCCAGCGCCGGAGCCTGCGGTCCAACTGCGCTGCTGCCGGAGCGCTCAGTGCCACCGCCGCCGCCCGCGCCCCGCTCGGCACCCACCGGTCGCAGCCGCCCGCCGCGCCGCTGTCCCGCTCCCGCGCCGCCGCCGCCGCCGTTTCCCCCCCGACGACTGGGTGATGCTGGACATGGGAGATAGGAAAGAGGTGAAAATGATCCCCAAGTCCTCGTTCAGCATCAACAGCCTGGTGCCAGAGGCGGTCCAGAACGACAACCACCACGCGAGCCACGGCCACCACAACAGCCACCACCCCCAGCACCACCACCATCACCACCATCACCACCACCACCCGCCGCCGCCCGCCCCGCAACCGCCGCCGCCGCAGCAGCAGCAGCCGCCGCCGCCGCCGCC